TACTGAGAATGTAAAGTAGCAGAGTCACTGTGGCAAACAGTATGACAGTTCCTCAAAACACTAAAAATAGAGTTACCATTTGATTCAGCAATTCCACTTTGGGGTACATACCTGAAAGAATTGAAAGGAGGATCTTGAAGAGATATTTATACACCCATGCTAATAACAGCAGCATTTTTCACAATGGCTAAAATGTGGGGCAACTCAACTATCTATTGACCGAAAAACGGATAAGCAAAATGTGGCCCAAACACATAGGGACATGTTATTCAAAATTATTATTCAGCACTATTATTATTCAATATAATTCAGAGTTACTATGCATGACCTAGACACACAATGGACTATTTCCTTTCTTAAAATGAAAGAAAATTCTGGCATAGGCTACAACATCGATGAACTTTGAGGACATTGTGCTAAGGGAAATAAGGAAGTCATTAAAAAAATACTATATGATTCCATTCATATAAGGTATTTATAGCAGACAAAATCATAGAGACAGGAAGTAGAACGCTGATTGCCAGAGGCTGGGGAGAGGGGATAATGGGAAGTTATTGTTTAACGGGTAGAGTTTGAGTTTTACAAGATGAAAAGTCTGGAGATAAATGGCAGTGATGGTTACACAACTCTAAAAACTGTACTTAATATCACTTAACTGTACATGTTAAACAGTTACGATGGAAAATTTTAGGTTACATATAATTTCCACAATTAAAAATTTAAGAAAAAAGGAGGCGGGGAGGAGGGAGTGGGAAATACTTTCATACATTTCCAGAAAATATTTGCTCCAGAAAGATTAAAAAAAAAAAAAAGAATGGCAATTACAAAGAAAGTTGCATCAGAGAATAAGAAACGTATTAGACAGAAATAGAAAGACTGCTCTTTGGAGTAGTGAAAGCTGCATCTGGCAATATATTTTAGTGGCTACACACATGGATTTAAGCATTAGAATGACCTGGGCTTGTACCCTGGCTCCCCTGAAGAAAGTTATATGTCATCTTTGAGTTTCATATTTCTCATCTGTAAAATGGGCAAAATAATAATATTTATCTCATATGTTGGTTGTAAAAGCTAAGTAGAGTAATGAGGCTATAAGCAGTTGAAGTCTGTCTAAATTGAGCCAATTGTCCTAGTTAGGATACAAGTCAATTTAGCAACACTTATATGGGTAGGACAGCAAGGGCTGCTTGTTTAGCAGAAAAATTAGCAAAGGCAGTGCTTTTGGATTCTGCAGTGATCTCTGAAATACAAACTTATACTTTAATAACTGATCTTTCTTGGTTACTTAATAGCTTTTAATATGTCATGGATCAATGTACTATTTTTTAATCCAGTTACCTGAGTGTGTCTCAAATCCCTTTTGTTTCTACAGTACCCCAAAATCTTAAATTAAAATATATCTACTATATGTTAGACGTTTACTTTTTGTGTATGTGTACCAGAAATGCAGTCTCAATTCAAAACTTCCAGTTTAACCACTTGAGAAAATAGACAATTTGTTAATTTCATGACTGCATATTCCAGGTCACATATTCAAATATCTTGCACAGGAAATATAGCTATCATTTTAAAGAAAAAGCCATATATAAACAACAATGATTCCAGATTTATTAAAAACAGTTTTATGTCAGTCCTGGACACACTTACCTCCTGAATTATAGCTAAACAGTTATGTAATTTCCTTTCTCTAGAAAGATGAACATTGGAACAACGTTGGATGATTATATGAACAGCAAAAATTAGGGAGCCTTTGCAAGCAGCAGAATGAATAACAGAGAAATGTTGAAAGATACCTAGAAGTAACAACAACTGCACAATTCCATGGCTCAAATAACAAAGTTCGTAAATGTCGCATGGCCTAGACAAAGAGCCTCGCGTCATTTGCTATTATTGCAACGAGAACACATAAATTTAAAGTATTTACTGGCCTCATAGAGTGATATCTGTTCTCTGGTTAATACTTTCTGCTGCTTCTGGCCAAACCTTCAGGCCAAGTAGAAAAATACTTTTTAAAAAGTATTTAAAAAAGTTGATGGACGGGTACTCCGAGGAGAGGCCACTCGCTGGAGGAAGTTTTCGGGGTTAGAGAGAACTGGGAGGCACTTGCTGTCTTCAGTCGGAGTTGAGGGGGCAAAAACGCAGAGCAATAAAACTTTTAGTTTGGAGAAGCAAAACCATACGCCAAGAAAGCATCATCAGCATCACCACCAGCAGCAGCACCCCCGGCAGCAACCGCAGCAGCCACCACCACCGCCAATACCTGCAAATGGGCAGCAGACCAGCAGCCAAAATGAAGGCTTGACTAGTGACCTGAAGAATTTTAGGAAACCAGGAGAGAAGACCTTTACCCCGCGAAGCCGTCTCTTTGTGGGAAATCTTCCTCCTGACATCACTGAGGAGGAAATGAGGAAACTATTTGAGAAATATGGGAAGGCAGGCGAAGTTTTCATTCATAAGGATAAAGGATTTGGCTTTATCCGCTTGGGAACACGAACCCTAGCGGAGATTGCGAAAGTGGAGCTGGACAATATGCCCCTCCATGGAAAGCAACTGCGTGTACGCTTTGCCTGCCACAGTGCATCCCTTACGGTCCGAAACCTCCCTCAGTACGCGTCCAACGAACTACTGGAAGAAGCCTTTTCTGTATTTGGCCAGGTGGAGAGGGCTGTAGTCGTTGTGGATGTTCGAGGAAGGCCCTCAGGAAAAGGCATTGTTGAGTGCGCAGGGAAGCCGGCCGCTCGGAAAGCTTTGGACAGATGCAGGAAGGCTCCTTTCTGCTAACCACTTTTCCTCGTCCTGTGACTGGGGAACCCAAGGACCAGTTAGATGACGAAGAGGGACTTCCAGAGCAGCTGGTTATAAAGAACCAGCAATTTCACAAGGAGCGAGAGCAGCCGCCGAGATTTGCACAGCCTGGCTCCTTGGAGTGTGAGTATGCCATGCGCTGGAAAGCACTCGTTGAGATGGAGAAGCAGCCGCAGGACCGAGTGGACCGCAGCATCAAGGAGGCTCGTGAAAAGCTGGAGATGGAGATGGAGGCCGCTCGCCATGAGCATCAGGTCATGCTAATGAGACAGGATTTGATGAGGCGCCAAGAAGAACCTCGGAGGATGGAAGAGCTGCACAACCAAGAGGTGCAAAAACGAAAGCAACTGGAGCTCAGGCAGGAGGAGGAGCGCAGGCGCCGGGAGGAAGAGATGCGGCGACAAGAAGAGGAAATGATGCGGCGACAGCAGGAAGGATGCCAGGGAACCTTCCCTGATGTGAGAGAGCAGGAGATACGGATGGGCCAGATGGCTATGGGAGGTGCTATGGGCATAAACAACAGAGGTGCCATGCCCCCTGCTCCTGTGCCAACTGGTACCCCAGCTCCTCCAGGACCTGCCACTATGATGCCAGATGGAACCTTGGGATTGACCCCACCAACAACTCAACGCTTTGGCCAAGCTGCTACAATGGAAGGAATTGGGGCCATTGATGGAACTCCTCCTGCATTCAACCGTGCAGCCCCTGGAGCTGAATTTGCTCCAAACAAACGTCGCCGATACTAATAAAGTTGCAGTGTCTAGTTTCTCAAAACCTTAAAAGAAAGGACCCTTTTTGGACTAGCCAGAATTCTACCCTGGAAAAGTGTTAGGGATTTCTCCCAATAGTTAGGTCTACCCTTCCTGTACTACTCTGGGGAGTCTACTAGAGGCAAAGGGCAAGAGAGGGGTGGCATTTAACAAATCAGTTCTGTGTGATGTATGGTTTAATCAATTATGTGGTGCATTCCTGAAGTCTCAAATGTGATTGTTGGGAGTCTGGGGGAACCATGGCAAAATGGATCTAGTTGGACCCCCATTAATCTTGATCATTCCGTTTTTTGGTCCATCCTGTTTTGCTTCCTTATCCTTACACCTTCCCCCAGCCCCAGAGACACTGCCACATAAACCACAAAAACCAAACCTCCCCCAATGACCTTAGCCCCATTGTTCAATTCACTCCCAGGTGAGAATTCAGGCAAACGTCCACAGAGGTCACAGGCAACGTACATACGGTTCTGTTATATCCCATATATTACCCCTTTATGTCCTAAGGAAGACATTTTCTCTTAGAGATTTTCATTTTAGTATATCCTTAAAAAAAATCTTGTGTTAACTTGCCTCCATCTTTTTCCTGGGTAAGGACAACCCAGGAATGGCCCTTTTGTGTCTATGATGTTGCTGTTCACAGCTTTTCTTGATAGGCCTAGTACAATCTTGGGAACAGGGTTGCTGTATGCTAAAGGTCTGACAGTAGCTCTTAGACTTGCCTATCTTAGGTAGTTGTGCTGTGCATTTTTTTTATTGGTGTACCATGTTTGATTTGTCCCTGGTATCTTAAATTTGGAGTTTTTCTGAGAAATGGAGCAGTAATGAGCATCAACTTATTAAAATACATTTTAAGCCTTTTAATTTTCTGTGCTATTTTTGAAGGGGAAAGGAGGGAGGGGAGTTCTAAGGAGATGAACAGTAGGTTTTACAAGGGTAATCCTTTATGACCTTTTGGTTCAAGTATTATCTCCAGGCAAACATAGGGAGGAGGTAGGAGTGAGATGCATACTATGGCTGAAGTGGTTGGCAAGGATGAGTATGGTTGGCACTACATGGAAATAGTCTGGACGGAGGAAAGCTGCTCTTTTGAAAGGAAAAAGATGGGCTCAACCCTCACTGAGTTGGAGAGGGGTCTCAAAATTGGTATTCATTTCTGAGCAGCTGCTCATATGTCAGAGGCTTGGAATTGGCTTGGTGAATCTAAAACTGTCTCAGCAGTGGTGAGCTGACCTCACCCAAGTTCCAAGCCCTACTCTGCCTGATCCTTTATTCCGGAACCTCAGAGCTAAAATGCTCCTGAGCTCTTTCCTATTGGCTGGAAAGACCAATTGAAGTTCCCTTGCCCATGTTAGGAGGTGTACGCCTCCTGAACTAAAGATAGAAACAGCTGGCCCTTCCAGGCAGCTAACAGTCTCCAGACTAAGAGGTGTTCCCCTCTCAGCAGCCAGACTCCTTGAAATACCCTTTCAGTAATTCTACCAACGCTTCCATGTCTCTTCTCTGCCATAACAAAGGCTGTGGGCAGCACTTTGACCCCAATACCAATCTTCCTGGTGAGTAAATCCTGACTTGACTAGGAGCTCTGTGTGGGTGATGGGAGCTGGTGGTGAGTTGTGGGAAGTGTGTTTAAAGAGCAGAGAAGAAAACTTCGTGTACCTACTCAAGTTTAATTGGTCTAATAGGTCTGGGTGATGTTTAACCTTTGCTGATTTTTTTTTTATTATGTGAAAAAACCCATAAACGGGGAAGAGATGATATCTGGTATAGTTACCTTCCCTTCCTTGATACTCTGGTATCCACAGATTCCTGTTGCCATCACCCTGGCTTCCCAATCTTCCATGATGCACTTAAGGTGAGGAGTAGATGAGGGGGTTAGCAAGAGCATTTCTCAAAGCAGATACATACCCAGGAAGCTAAACTGATCTGGGTTTCTTGTTATCAGGGTTGGTCCTGCTGCCGAAAGCGAACTGTAGATTTCTCTGAGTTCTTAAACATCAAGGTAAATTCTTTACTTCTTGGCTTCTGCTCCTAATAGAAGGATTCTATTCCTAATCCTTATCTCCTTATCTATACTAGGGCTGTACTATGGGACCACATTGTGCTGAGAAGCTTCCTGAGACCCCTCAACCTGAGGGCCCTGCTACAAGCAGTTTACTTCAGGAGCAAAAACCTCTGAATGCGATTCCAAAGTCAGCAGAGACTTTGCGCCGGGAGAGGCCCAAGTAAAGAGGAAGAGGCCCCTGGGTTTTTCCTACTTTGATGAAGCTTCCTAGGAGTGATTCATGGGTCATTGAGTTTGGGATCTAGGGAACAGCTGGTATCAGGGTTTAGGTGGTATATATCCTGTGCCTCATGGGGAAATTTGTGTCTGCAAATAATGTCCTTTGCTGTAAGGTAGTATAGGATGATGGGGTAGATACTTCAGTCAACAAAGTAGATAGCCCTCACAAATGCATACTTAGTTATAATACAAGGGCGATTGTTGAGAATGACTTGATTTTTTCTTTTTTTCTTTTTCTTTTTTGAGTTCTGTCACCCAGACTGGAGTGCGGTGGTCACTCCGGGCCACTGCAGCCTCAACCTGCTGGGCTCCGGCAATCCTTCCGCCTCAGCCTTCCAAGTAGCTGGAACTACAGGCGCGTGCTACCATGCCTGGCTAAGATTTTTTTCTTTCTTTCTGGGAAAGAGCTTTAAGATAAATTTAATGTCAGGAAAAGTATATATTATTGGCAGTTGGGAGGCTACAGAGAATAATTTTGTGGGAATAATACGAGCAACAGAAAAAAGTCACATTAGGTCCACAATTAGAGAAATGTGTGTCACATTAGGTCCACAATTAGAGAAATTTCTCTGCAGAGAAATGTGCTTAGATTTAGAGCAACCGAGTAGATGGTAAGAGAAGTGTTGGGAATTTCCCCAGGGTTCAGGGATTTGGAATATCAACAGAGATGAGAATTGGAACTGGGGTTCCTACTCACCTAGTCTGCCTCATTTTCAACCTACTTTTTTTTGTGTGTTGGAGTCTCTGTCACCCAGGCTGGAGTGTAATGGCACGCTCATGGCTACCACCTGCTAGGCTCAGGTGATCCTTTCACCTCAGCCTTCCAAGTAGCTGGAACTATTAGGTGTGTGCCACCATGCCCTGCTAATCTTTTGGTTTTTTTTTTTTTTTTTTTTTGTTT